TCTTATATATTCAGATACTCTACAAAAAGAAAAAAATCTCAAAAATGAGTTGAATTAAAAAAATTTAGAAAATACAACTGTAGTTAGAACCCAACTTTATTGTTACAACCAATTTTTATTTACAGAATATAAATCTCTTCAAAAAGATACATTCCTTCATTTAATCAATGGTAAAAAGCCTTATTAATTTGGAAATAAAGGCTAAACATCACTTATATTTAAACAGAAAAACAAACTGCTTCATGAAAAGTTCTTGAACATATAGCAAAAATGTATTTTTACTTAAGCAGTTACATGAATGAGGCGGTTTTAATTTTCTTCACTGGCAATGCCATTTTTTCCACAGAAGAATTTTACTTAAATTAACAGTAGTAAAAATGTAAAAATTAAATTTTAAACATGAATTATGCAACAAAAAAAAACAGGAAGTATCTCCATTAGCAAACAGATTAACAAATTCTCAGACACTCAGATACTTTCTGAGGCATATCAAAACACCTACATCAAAAGTTGCATTCATTTGAGAGGTATCAATACATTTTCAGTGCTGAGACTATTTGTAGCACTTACAGTATATACAAAGCAGCATTATACTACTATAGTTCACATTTGATAAACACAAATTTAAGCTTTATGCCACAATTTCCCAATTCAACAAACAGCTAATGCAATGACAATTACTCATTCCATTTTTTTTTTTTTTCCTTGCACATGGGATAGCCACATCTTCTTCCTTAGAATAACAGTATGTTTTAAAATTCAAATACTTTCTATCATGGAAACTTGACCTAACTGTACAAAGGCTCCTAAACACAGTAGAGTCAAAAGTTTCTTCTTTGTAAATTCCATAAACTTATAGTTATTTCAGTACAGTTAAATACAGAAAACTACTTCAGATTATTGGACAATAAAATTCAGTATGTCACTACCTGTATTTAAGTAGGAGCATACCACAACTAAAACCATGGTAAGTAAACACTCTCATCTCCTCCACTGCTTTTTCAGGGGGCCTTTTCCAAGTCATAGGAGCTAGTTTACATGGATACCACTGGATTTCAATCTATCTCTGATAGTTTCTTATTAAGAGTTTTTAAACTTAACTTTCGAAAGCCTACCATTCCAATCACCTAGGGTTTTTTTTTTTCCTTCTCTCTTCACTAACTAGATGAAATATAATATGTAATGCTTCCAAATTTTATAAACATCCTGTGTTTCATTAAAAGGATTAATGGTATCTAAACTACCATTAGTGGATAAGATATTAACCAAAAAAATGAGATTAAGAATATTTTAGAGAGCACTGTTTTCATAACTAGAAAAGTTATAGATTCATAATGAATACAGATATACTAATATCTTAACCCTGCTGATTTATAATGTCAGTAGTACAGTAAGTGCATGCAGGAAAGAAAAAGAAAATTTCAGGAGAGAAGTCTACTAAAAAAAGTTTTGGATGATGCCTGAAACACAAAAGAATTTTATAGTGCTTATAAGCACCATCATTTTTTTTTTTTTCCCCATCCAAATAGTTCAGATTTTCTTCCCATATCAAATTTTGTTCTGGAAATAAAAAATTTTCAGTCTAAAAACTGTTAAAAAAAATTCATTAGATAATACATCTTATTAAATTTCAGATTTCAGGTATCAAAGCAATGTGAACCAAGTGTTTTCTTTTACAGCAACACTTTTTTATAGACTGAGTACAAAATTGGGGAAATATTCATTTAAAATAATTGATACACTTTTCTGTTTAAGACATCAAACCCAAAAATTAACACTGTAATCACATATGTGATATGTAATAGAAAAAAAAGGTAGTTGAATATAACATTTAGCTAGTTTTATTTTTAAGAAATGAAAATAAAACAGAGTGCCTTAATATGTAACTAAATTTCCCAATAAAAGGACATTCTGAAATCTAATGGACCAAAGAAAAAGCAAAGCTACTTTACCACATACTTTAATTCTTTTTCCTCTGTGCATAATAATTACTAGCATTTGCCTTCTGTGTACAGTACAAGTTGATGCCAATAACAAAACTCTCCTAGCATAAAGCACTTTTTACTTTGTCTATCAACTGAATAACTGATTAATATTAAATGTTGAAGTCTTTACTACTTTGGAATGCAGTATAAAATGCTTCAAAATAATTTAAAGCAAAAAAACAAATTGACAGTATTTTTATTTATATTATGAAGTAATGAACTAAAAAATGGTACTGAAGTCTTCTGTATAATGTAAAAAAGAAATATCTGAATAATTTTGAAAGTGGAGGTTTTTAACTTTTAATTGAGAGTGTTTGGGGGGACTTTTTTTAAAGTCTGGAAGTTTTAGTTAAAATACTTATGAAGTTAAAGTAAATATTTTTAGTAAAAAAATGGATATACTTGTCATTAAAAGATCACCTATGTCTTTTCTGTCTTTTACAATCCTACAATGAACAACTTTAGAGAAGTCACCTGAGAAATTTTTAAGTTGAACTAAGAGCAGTTATTTGCCATCTCTTTATGGGATTAAGATTCACACTAAACTTCAAAGGGTTTTTTTTGTAGAAAATATTAACAAAAATATTTCCACAAACAGGAAAAGGTAATACATCAGTATATAAGCATTAAACTATATTTTCAGTTTCCTTTAGTTTAGAATTGTGACTCAAAGAATGAAACTCTAATACTATAACAGTACATAAATTCACTGCTTCCAGGAAGCTAACCTTACAAAAATTGATGGCGAACTGAAAAATGAGAAAAGTCTTATTAGGCACTGAGAGGCTAAATAAATAATTACTGACATTAACCAAAGCTGATAAAACCCTATTTCCAGTTCCTGTCACCTCACTGTGCAGCCATAACTGTTGGCTATTTTCAGTCTAAAAGCAATGAACTAGATTCATTTCCTGACAGAAAAAAAAAAAAATACAAAAGGGAAGAGAATGCAAAACAATACACAATCTCATATGCAAGATACAATTCACACTTATTTACAAATTTTTATTTACACTGCTTTATACACATTCCAGGCAGACCTAGTTGATGAGTTTTGTGCTCATATTGATCTCATATGATCATGTCAACAGTATGATTTGCTACCACATCTCTTTGATTTCCAGAAAATGTTGGTAGCATGGGGTCAGGAGAGGGAAAAAAAAATCAAATATCATTGGTTAGGTAAGATCATACAAGAATATAAGGGGGGATAAAAGAAGGGGGTGGAATTTTGCTTGTTAAAAGCATTGAGGCCACTATGGTCTATTGACTAACATTGAACATATATGAAAGCCACTTCTAACAACCATTTTCATATATACAAAATGAGCTTACTACCAATTGAGTGATTAGGTAAGGCATTCAAATTCCTTAGCTTAACATAAAAAGGCAACTGATATCTCAGCAAGCCACAAGACAAATTTTAAGAGGGATGATTTTAGAGTGCTGTTGAGATTTACTCTGCTTTAGAATCCCTTCAATGGCCAATATAAAGAGAAGCTATTTTGAACCCTATTGTTAATCTGCACCATGATCCGCAAAACCTGTACAGGAAGCAGGAGCATCACAATACCCTCAACCTAGCCAAAATGAGGGCAACAGTTTAAGTATCTTAACTTGTTCCCAAGATCCACTGAATACTTCTTCCAGGACTAAAGCGACAGCCTTTATTCCTGGCTACATTCAATTCTATATGAATCTCTCTGAATCACTTAGTATCACAGCTAGCAGCTATGCGCAGACTAACAACAAAGGCTCAGTGAATCTCTATTCAAAATAGTTTGAAGTAAGATTATGAAGTAAGGTAGAAAAATGATCTTCTTTCCTCCCATAGTACTATAAGATATATACTCTTGGACTTTAAAAGTCAGAGAGCAAAAAATCAAGAGTAACATTACATATTCTTCATCATTCTATGCTAATGTTCAAACCACAGATGAAAATTCCACCAAAAACAACTTTTTTTGAATTTACTTTAACATTATAAAAAGCTACTCATTATTTAATTGGTTCCATTCATTTAATCAACTAGGCAAAATTTTATTGATCTTACAGTAATATGGTTTTTATAAAAACAAAAGTGAACATTTATAACATTGGGGAGGTAGAAACCAAATTTTGGTCTAACACTGTTACAGATACAAACATTTTAAGAGTCTATTTATGTAACTAGAATGTACCATTTTAAATGGCCTGTAAGTGTTTCTACTTACTTTATTATCTTGAGATAATCCAAGTAATTTTAAAGCACTTGTCTGAGAATATAAGTCATTTGGAATAATACATCAGACTCCCCAGAAGATTTCTCAGAGGATAAATTTGTAGTTGCATATCTTACAAATCTTTGAATATGCAGATCCAGTAAGCCAACTTTGTACATGAGCACTTACGTGACGAAAGTGCAAAGCCTGTCAGACTAATTTTCTAAGTAAAGTTAACCATGACTGCTCAACTCCACAGAGCAGTCTTTAAAACTTGAAGCCTTCCTATCTATCCCAAAGATCTAACTTTCTTCCATAATATAACTGCCTCTCTCACCCCTAAACAAAATATATACTTAAACAAAAACAAGATACATAAAAACAACAGAAGCCCTCCTACCATAAGTATTTCTGCTAAATTCACATTTTGTTGCTTGTCAGATTTTAAGTATACAAGATCAATGTCCTCAATGTTCCTTATTTAACTCATTCACTGCCTCAACATATTACTCTGAAATTAAATGTATCAAGTAATTATTTGCTATCATTCTAAAGACAGAACCAAAGTAAAACATGAAACCAAAAAAGGAATGAATCTGAATAGATTTTTTTTAAAAAAAGAATCAATCTAAATGATATTTTCTTCTTTATAAGAATGACAATTTTGTGTGTCTGTTTGAAAATTAACAATACAAGCTATTATGTAATAAACTAAAACATATAGTATCTCAATTAAGTAAAACAAAATTTGGGATTAGAAACAATTTGATACCATGAAATTTTAAAAACTGAACTAGTAACTTCAATGTCCACATTTAGCACTTGAAAACATTACTAACTACAGATTTTGGTAACATTAAATCATTATTCTTATTCTAGGGTTATGTGGCAAATATAAAGAGACAAGAATTTAGTTCTAAGTTGTAGTTCCCCAAAAGGAAATGTTTTCCAATATTTAATTCAAAAAGATGTACCACCAACAGAGACAAAAATGTATTTTTCCCTTCTAAGCAGATATTTTTATATGAATACCCTAAATTATCTGTACCAATCAGTGACTGGTATTTCAAGGGTAAATAATTCATTTTACTTAGAATCAAGATAAAAAACGTTACAATGAACAACCAGAAAATTTTTGTAAAATTAATCTTACTAAGATAAAACTTAAATTTCTCTGGAACATTTTCATTGCATACACTCAACAAACGAATCAGATGAAAGAAGTCACAGATCATGTTAAATTCATAATAAATAATTCACATGTAACAGAGTAAATTATCACAGAAAGGCTTAAACTGACATCTTTATACCTTTTGCAGATTTAACAAATATCTAATCCACCACATACTGACAGCAGTAGGTATACATTGTGACATCACTCAAGTCTATTTAAAAAATAGATTGGTTGTTTTGAGGCATAATTTGTAAAGCAAAATAACCAAATTAAGTAACAGAATTTTAACAAATATTGGCTTTTTGGAATTTCTTAAGAAAACAATTCACAAGCATTGCTCAGCTACTTGAGAATAATTAAATCTCTTCTTTACTCAGGCACTTTCAATGCAGTAACCTCAGGCTTCATTTTAAAGTACTGGTTAAAACGAACAATTGCATACCTAATGAGAAAAGAGAATAAATGACAAAATTAGTCAAAGTTAAAAAACTTAACCCTCACCTCCCGTCTTAATTTCCACTCTTCTAAGCTGGATTTTTGTAAGTTTTAAGAGTTTCAAAGGACATATTTTTAGTTTACTACACCACCTACTGGACACTTCTAATACTGAGAGTACTTAACAGCTTCTACCAGGTTTCTTTTTTTTTTCTCTTATTCTTTTTTTTTTTTTTATTGGTTGTTCAAAACATTACAAAGCTCTTGACATATCATATTTCATACATTAGATTCAAATGGGTTATGAACTCCCATTTTTACCCCAAATACAGATTGCAGAATCACATCAGTCACACATCCACATTTTTACATAATGCCATATTAGTAACTGTTGTATTCTGCTACCTTTCCTATCCTCTACTATCCCCCCTCCCCTCCCCTCCCATCTTCTCTCTCTACCCCATCTACTGTAATTCATTTCTCTCCTTGTTTTTTTTTCCCATTCCCCTCACAACCTCTTATATGTAATTTTGTATAACAATGAGGGTCTCCTTCCATTTCCATGCAATTTCCCTTTTCTCTCCCTTTCCCTCCCACCTCATGTCTCTGTTTAATGTTAATCTTTTCCTCCTGCTCTTCCTCCCTGCTCTGTTCTTAGTTGCTCTCATTATATCAAAGAAGACTTCTTTACAGACCAAATCATTAAATTCATGCAGCCTTTGTAATGACTGAAAATAATAACATAATAATGTTCCCTATGAGTTCTAAATATTAATTCAAACAAAACTAGAGACAAATGCAATACATTTAATAAAACTGAACTTACCCAAGAAAATCAAACTCAATAGTAGAATATTTGGCTTGAATCAGAGCCCACAAACCCCAAAAGAAATGAGAAGCCTTAAAAGGGGAAAAGAAAAATCAAGAATTACATTAATGTGTTTCTTTCTAAAACTAATATAAAAATGTTAACTCCATTCTCTTCATCAATTACATGCATGGTTCTTTCCCCTTGCTTCCTTCCTCTCCCTCTTTCCCTCTCTCTTGCTGGGATTTAATCTAGAGTCTCCTGGAAACTATACCCTCCTCTGGCTCCAATTCTTACTTTCTTACTGCTTTTTATATTATTTAAAAAACAGAAAATACTGAACAGTACAGTTACTGGATAGATGCAGATCACTTACTTGTCTATAATAGAAGAGGTTACAATAAATTACAATCACATAAAAAATAAAGCCCAATTCCTATAACTTGCTTTGTATCAGCACTATCAGATGTTGTCTAAATGTTTTTAATGGCTATTAACTCCTAACAGGCTTTATTATAACACACATTAAGAATCTTTCCTTCTTGACATAAAAACACAAACAAAAATGAAAATGCAAATCTCAGAAATAACAAATATATTTAAAATGTGAGACTGTTCTATGAGCAACAAACATCTGAAAATAACTTTACTGGCTCAAATCTGCACAACCAACATAACAAAAAGTAACAAACTTTATGGCAGCAAAAAATTATGTTCAGACTTAAAGAGAAATTACAGTGTAAATAGTAACTATATTTGAAATCCATCTTCAGTTAGACCTAATGGTACTTTAAAATTCTGGTAAGATTTTACTTCCTCAGACATAATAATTTATTGTAACTAGAAATACTCTAACAAAAACTCTTAAAGATAAGGTTTTTATTTCAGTTAAATTCACTATAGCAAAAGCAACAAAAGGCCTCTAAGAAAATATGACTTAATAGCTGTGAATTTTGTTATTTAAAAAACATCTGATTTGGTATGTGAAGCAACACAGTGTACCAGAAAGAATTATTTAATTTATAAGGTGCACAGGTGCAAGTCCTAGTTCTATTACTAATTCCCTTGGTAACCTTTAAGAAGTCACAAATTTTTAACGTCAGAACTATCATTTATAACATGTTCATAATACCAGCCATTCAGTATTCCATACAGAATTATTTTAAAGATAAATGGAAAGAGTATCTGTTTAAGTTTTCAAGCTAAAGTCCTCTATTTACTCTTGCCTTCCTCAAAAAATATCATTAACAGGATAACTTCCTACCACAAATACAAGTAGAAAAAGAATAAACAATGTAACAACTCCAAGTAGCTAAAGTCACACAAACATGAAACATAAAATTTTTTGAAAAGCTATGCTTTGAAGTGTGGCTTTGAGCAACCTAATTAACCATTCTTTGCCTTTGTATCCTCACCTGTAAAACACAGGTATAATAGTGTCTCTACCTGGCATGTAACAAACATTCAAGAGAATTTCAGCTACTGTTATTACACAAAATTAGAATGATAAAAATGATGAAGATTTTCAAAAATAAACTTCCAGTTTCTACCTAAGGAAGTATCTCAGATACTGAGAATTAAATAATTAGATGATATTCTTTTAAATATCTCAATCAGTGATTCTCAAACCCAGAGTCCCATAGGGATTGACACAAATGAAATATATAAAGAAAATGAACAACAGATGACACATATAAAATATAAATTGAGCAACTAGTGCATGAACCCATAGAAGGCTTCTGAAGACCAAAACTAATTCCTTAATAATAATATGTTACTTACCTTTTTCACTACCTTAACATTTGCACTTAATATTCAAAAGTAACAGTGGGGGTAAACAAGGAAAATAGATGATGGGTAAATTTGCTGGTATCATAATATAAGTGAAGACAATAGCAGCAAATAGTACTATTACAGGTCTCACTCATTATCACCACACACAATAAAAATCTAATCTCACTCTTTAGTATATCCAATATGAAGCCACTGAAACCAGTAATTTCATCAAATCTCTACCTCAGAGTGTATGTTCTATTATTTTGTGGGGTGAAATAAGAAATATACAAGCATAGGCACTATATACCACAGTAAAATGATTGTTTCAGGAAAAGTACTTATGTATCTAAGCTAGGAGTTGAATTTGCACCTTTTTACCAGAACACTATTTTTACTTGGGGGGGAAAATGACTGACATTGTGTGTGTGTGTGTGTGTGTGTGTGTGTGTGTTTTGCTAGGGTTTGCATGCAAGGCAAGCACTCTACCAACTGAGCTACATTCCCAGCCCCATTTTCTTATGTACAAAAAAAGAACTTGTCATTAGAAAGAAAATAAATGATAGTATTTGTTGCTAATGGAAAAACTTCAGCTTTCACCTTGAAATTAGAACTTGAGAAAAAACACATTTGATTCTGAAAACAGCTTCAAAACAGTACTATCAATTTTCCTGATAACAGTTATTTTTATCAATGTATGATGTTTTTGATATCATGAGATTCACCAATAGTTGGTAGTCCACATAATTCAATGAATCCATATTTTCTAAGTAACTAATGATGTTAAAATTACAAAATCGCATACTGGCAAAAGATTGTACAAATAAACCAATGAATTTTAAGGTCACATTTTAAAAAAAAGTAAATTGATATGCACATAGTTTACAAGTTGCTATTAATCTTAAAAGAAACTGTTGAGTCTTTATATAATATCAATAAAGAACACATACAATTATCTGAAAAGGTAAAACACTCCTGTTTTTCCATTTTACATAATGTGTGTAAAACTATTTTCTTCATGTACTTCAACTGCAATAATATATCACAACACAGAATGCAGAAATGTGAGAATCTAGCTGTCTTCTATCAATTGAGAAAAGAAATTTACAAAAATGTAAAATAATGCTAACTCTTCTAACTAAAAAAACTTTGTTTTTGCTTTGGAAAAGTTACTTTTTATAAATGGTATTTATTTTAATGAGTTTTTACCTTTAACTTTCAATAAACACTTTGAATTTTGTTTTGAATTCCAATATGATAATTAGCTTACATAAAGAAAAATTCATAGGGGTGTTCAAAATTTCTTTAAAGAGTAAAAAGGTTCTAAGACCAAAAAACTTGAGAACTACTAGTCTAAATCTCATTGGGGTATTTTTAAGTCATACCAAATTATATGCAGATGGTATCTAATCTCTTCTAAGTTTGTTCTGTAGTGGAAAAGACTGAGAAATTAAGAGGTCATTCTAAGCCTAAAAATAACATCAACCTAGCACGTCTGACCATTTCAAGAATAGCAGGTAACTGTATTTCTCAAACACTTTTTATTTTTTACTCATATAGTGAGATATATCAATGATTCTACACTAAAGAAGCACTAAACATAAAACCTCAAAAAATCTAATGTTGATAGGCAGCATTTTTTATAGAGTGAAAATGCAAAATTTATATGTAAGATTAGACTCTAAATGGATAAAAGGAGAGGCAGAAATGGATAAAAGGAGAGCACACATTAATGTTTATTTGAGCTCAATTCACAACAGCCAAACAATGGAACTAACGAAGGTGCCCTCTAACAGATAAATGGATAAAGAAAATATACACAATAGAATATTAGTCAACCATAAAGAAGAATGACTTTATGACATTTGCCAGAACAATCATGCTAAGTGAAATAAGCTAATCCCAAAAAAAACAAAGGTCCAATGTTCTGAACTCTGGTATGTGGATGCTAACACACAACAAGGGGTTGTTCAGTGGATTAGAAAAAGAGAAGGGAGGGTGCCACTGGGAGAGAGGATAGAAATAGGAAAAGATAGTAGAATGAATCAGATATAACTTTCCTATGTACATATATAAATAATACACCAGAGTGAATCTCCACATCTGAACAGCTACAGGATGGGATCCTAATTAGAAGATACACTCTGGGTTGTATAAATATGTCAAAATTGACTACTGTCATATATAACTAAAAAGAATTAAGTAAAAAGAAATAACTGCCTATGAATAAAAGGTCAAGAAGATAATATACTGGATTAAATCACAAAAACAACTGGTTCTTCCAATTTACTTTTATTGTGATAAGATTGAGATGTGAGGATTAAATATATTGTAGAAAATCTCATCTCCCATAAATCTTCCTTCGATTAAAAGCTTTTTTATAACAAAGAAAAAGAATCCATTCCCTGAGCAAATAATTGCTGAGCACTTGTTATATTTCCAAGCACTGATCTATGGGCTGTAGATACAGCAGTGAAGGAAATGAAAAGTTTGTCCTCAAAAGAAGGCAATTTGGGCTGGGGATGTGGCTCAAACGGTAGCGCGCTCGCCTGGCATGCGTGCGGCCCGGGTTCCATCCTCAGCACCACATACAAAGATGTTGTGTCCGCCGATAACTAAAAAAATAAATATTAAAAATTCTCTCTCTCTCTCTCTCCCCCTCTCTCTTTAAAAAAAAAAAAAAGGCAATTTGTGTAATGTAAACTGTAAACAGTCAAGTCTTTTCATTATGTTGAACAAAAATTCACAACACTGAAAATAAATTGTTTTATAAGATGATTATATTAAGAATCTTTCATTTATTGTTTATATTTAATAAACTTACCAATGCAAACTGATTGACTTGAATGAAGAGTATTTCTACCTCCTTTTCAGTAACTTCAGTCCCAAACCCTTTATATTCCTTGTAGGCTTCAAGGTAAGAACGCAGCCACTGGTCCTGTAGTTCTCTATCTGGATAGAGACTATAGTCTACGTCACTTACACCTTTAGGGAAAAAAATACACTGAAGTTATTTTAAAAACAGACACTTTCCCACATACCTTAATAATCATTACAATCAACATTTTTTTCATAAAATGTTTTCATTTCTGTTTATAACACTAGACATTAAATAAATACTTATTAAAATAATAAACACTTTCCTGAAATGCCTTCCCTTATCTTCAATTTGTATATCCAACTTCTACTTAACTTTCAAGTTTAACTCAATTATATTTTCCACAAAATTGTTCTAAGATCACTGTAATTTTCTTTCATATCCACAGCATGACTATATGTGTTACTAACAGGGTGATATCTCATTGTATGCAGTTGATTTCCCCTCCTATAGGTACATATGAAAATATGTGTATATAGGTGAGGCTCTAGCATGTATACGATAAGCCAGGTGGAGAAAAATAACTGAAAATGTGTAAAAGAACTTTTTCACAACTTATTTCCCAGTCTGGAAACCAACAGTATATAAAAACACATGGATACACTAAAGTACACAAATACAATTCAATAATGAAATATTTCTACTACATGTAAACCATCTAAGGAAATTTCCTAATTCTTTACTTTCAGGTCATTTCATATTTCTAAATACAGTCATGAAATGAATTTTAAATTAAATCCATTACATTGAAAAAAAAAAAGTAAGCTTTTATATTTGATTACAGATTGAGTGTTCAGGAATACAAATGAACAATTCTTCAAACAGCCGTAACCAAGTTAAGAAAAGAAAATTCTTGAGCTTTTTAATTAAAAACATTTCAAAAGCCCAAGTTTACAATGGGTGTGGGTGTGTGTTTTGCTGCTAGGGATCAAAACCCAAGCCTCCCACATACTAGGCTAGCCTCCCACATACTCCCATATAGCTCAACCACTGAGCTATACTCTCAACCCCAGTAAGTCTTTTAAATGATAAACAATACTAAATTCAAATCTCAGTTCTCAATATTCTACCACGACCTTGATGAATTATATATCCTAAATGTAAACAGGGAATACTACCTTACAGGAGGAATATTGGGGAGAAAAAAAAGTGAAATGAGATTTATGAAGCATCTTGTACCTTATAATATCACAACAGATACCACAATTATTATTTTCCTCCTGTACATTATTTTCTGATGGCAATTAAGGAAGAAAATCTGATAATCTCTTTCCTCCAATAACCAAGAAAAACAAAGAAAAGGGGTCAGCAAGAGGAAGAAAAACAGTGCTCCTATTCCCAGCTGATCCACATTTTAAAAAGCAAAAGAAAATTGTGAAACTACCATTTTAGAGGTAAACATGTTACTTCTTGGTTTTAAATTAGTTAAACCTTGGTTTTTACCTGCGAATTCATTGAAATGATTTCCAATATCATATGCCAGGTAGTTGTATCCAGAATATTCATAATCAATGAACTGTACATCACCTATATGAGACACAAAAACGAAGACATTAAGAAATCACATACAAGATCAGAAAATCCCTATGCTATTTGTAATTAAATAGCTTCCAATATTTTGTCTCATTGTATGTGCTTGGTTACTTGCACTTCTGAGACAATACAGGGTAAGGCTGTGAATTTTATGGCAATGAGCTTTACAAAATTCAAATTATATCTCTTAATCAACAGCTTCTTGTGAACACAAATGTCCACTCTATTAAAGAAAAATGAAAATACATTCTCTAAATTCTAACAAAAACGATATATTTTTCACCACATGGGGGCATCAGTAACTAAACATTCAAGTTTAATCAGAAATAACTTAATAACCAATGCCATTTTAACAAAAACTTAATCTATATTTCAACAGTAAACTGGCAAGCTTATCTCCATATGAAAATCAAATACAAACTTTAAAAAGACCTGAATTCTATTAACTTTTACATTCGTTTTATAATATATAACACTTGATAAACTAATTTAACATCACTGATTTAATGAAGGTGACTGCTATCATACTCTCACATTTACCTAGAATTGCTATATGACTAAAGTTTTCATAACTGAGTAGCATTAAAGAGCAGCACTGCTCTTTTAAAAAGAGCAAAGATATAGTTTCTTTTAGACCCTTATAAATTTTAAGAAATCTGTAAGCTAAATTAAGATTCCTATTCTAAATTATCTTATACCTATAAGTTATAGTTTTTCATTATAATACTCCAAAGATAATCCTGTTCTTCCTGTACAAGTGAAATACTCCTACTTAGGAGCTTTTAAATTTTGAATACTTATTATGGAGGGTTTGGATCAATAAGATACAGTTTCTGTACAGATAAAAGGGGGAAAAAAAGAAAAAGGTTTAAAAAAAAAAAATTAATGTGAGTCACTGTCCACACCAGAGAGAGGTTTTTAAAAAAAATAATATAAGTCACTATCTACGCCAGGGATCACAAACTTGAAAGCTTAGAGGAGCTTGGAGTTAAAATGGACACATGAACAGAGATGGCTGTAAGAACAATTTCTAAGCTGCTTATATTGAGAAAATGTATAACAATTGCATAGTTATCCTCTCTTTTAAACTTTGAGATGGTATAAAACAGATTCCTGAATTATAAGCACTGATATTTCCCAAATAAAAGTGTTTTTGAACTGTGCTGATATACTAACTTTATAAAGAAGTATGTTGATCATATTCAAACAGAAAAACAGAATTATATGACAAAAAAAGAAAAAAGGCCAGAGCAAATGTAAGATTTCACATAAAAACAAATGCCTTTTGTAAATATAACTGTATTTAACATAATTTTAAATTTGTATAAATAATGGGTCTGGCGAATGTCACTCAGTAATAGAGTGCTTGCCTAACATGTATAAGGCCTTGGGTTCAATTCCCAGCATAACCAAAACAAAAAGCCAATTCTAGAATAATAAGGGAGAATGATCAAAGTATCCTCCAGTTATCAAAACTGAATATATACTGTTATAATAAACATAAGATTATAAAATGTTGGTGAGAATCATCACTGCAATTTAACTGCAAATATTATATTCTTGAATTCTCCAAATATTCCACAAAAGGTTTTAGTGTTAACTAAATCACTTCACTAAACTGCAGAAGGGGAAATCAAAACTTGTTTTTAAAATTTCTTTTCTAGGAATCATGAATAAGAAGGTGAAAACCACCACCATGATAAAAATACTTGCAGCAATGTAAATAAATAAATAGAGCCATGAAAAATTCTCATTTCTAAAAATAACACAGGAAAAAAAGATGAATAGAAATAAGCCAAAACAAAATGTTTTAGCTGCTTTTATTATGGGTGATAGACAAGTGACTTTTTTCCTTTTATTTTTAAATTCTTTATAATAAACTTTACTTTTTAAAGGGAAGTGTTATTTTTAAAAATAGTAAGATGAATTTTCTAAACAAAAGTATAAATAAATAAGAGCCTAAATACAATGATTCAAGAGATAACCAACCATAATCCTTCAAAGAAAGTCAGGATACAAGATTTACCAAGTTGCGCAACTGAGCGAACAGTTTTCGTATGTAATTTTTTAAACTGCAGCTGTTGATTGCTTTAGCTCTTTAAACACTAATTCTTGTAGAGCTCATATCAACTGTTACATGCCAATAAAAATACACAGCCCAGTCCTGCCACTTACTTTTGCCACATAAATAAAAGCTTCAATTTCAATTTTCAAAATTATATTTAGAATTTGGCGAATATAATTAAAATGGCAGGTAAAAACATGCCTGCTTGTAAAGTAAATACAAATTAATTAAAACATAGATCACTTTAACAAAAGTTAAATTCTGTTTCAGTATGAAAATTTTAGCAATGACTTTTTGTAGTAGCATTAATTCATTAACACTAGCCTTTATTTTTAAACGCTATGTTGAGTTTATAAATAATGAAATTTAAAAAATAAGAAAATGAAGCTAACAAGATACAGATGAGGCTGTTACCAGGCTCCGTGCATGTGAACAAGTGATGCGATAAACCTCCAGTCAGTGCGTTTAAGAAGCACGGGGTGCGCCGCCACATGGCAGCAACAATGGCATACCTAATCTGTAGCAGATGAAGAAAATTTGGCAAACTCACATTTTACAAGACACAAAGCTTAAAAGGAAAGAAATTAAAAAAAAAAAATCTGCATTAACTATTCTTTTTCAAGTTATTACAAACAAAGTGGAACTCAACCTTAAATTTAATCTTCTGCAACAAAGTAAAATTAGAGGCCTACTGCCTTATTTAGGGTGCCAGAAAAATCAAATTACAGAATTGGAAAATGCTGTCTTATCAACAGAAAACATTTGGGTTTTTTTCTTCTTATAAATTTAGTGTTTGATTTCCACAATTTTCCATTATATAAAGGTACATTCATATCACTATTTATAATTAACTAACTTATATGGTGATCTTAATTCCTAAGACATGAATTTTTAATTGAAGCTCCAAGGGTTAAAAAGACAATGAGATTACTCCCTAAACTTTCATACAAAATTTTATGTGGATGTGTATTTCCTAAGGGGGGCAGGAATTCTCAATTTTCCAGATTCTCAAGGGATCTATGACCTCTAAAAATGTAAAGAACCACTAGTTTAAGGCCTAGCACTAGTTTTTATTTATCGTTTTTATTTATCTTTTGCAATTAGCACAATGACAAACACATAATGGGTAAAGCATGTTATTTACAGATAAATCTATAATTTGAATTTGCAAAAGTTACATTTTGTCTTTTATTACTGTAATCTTGCACATCTTCACTACAATAGTATATTCCATACACTGGGCTAAACTATCCAAATCTTAGTATATTAAAATAGTCTTTCAATTTTCTAAGTACTTTAAAGCCAAATGAATAACTAATTCCCTAGGCTACATAATTACCACATGACACATTTGTCTGGATTGCTCTATCTTACTGTTAAAAATTTAAGTGAATAAAAATGAAAGATAAAACTGTCAACAAGAAAACTGAAAATCCTTTCAAATGACTACTTGTTCTGCTCTCTTAGGCAGGAGGAAGGAGAACAGTAACCTGTCAGACCAATGTTAACAAAATGTTTTTTCTCTCATGCAGAAAAAGACAGGGAGTATTTTGGTCTGGGAAATTTTCCCTTCATCCCTCATGCTGGTGTCCAATAAGTACTCTGTATACGCCTTCAACACAGCACTCATCATTTTAAATGTTAAGCATCTCTTCAGTGATGTGACTCCTTCACTATATGATACGAACTCCTGGAGGGACAATAAGGTCCCTTTCATTTTTCACCAAGTAATCCACAGAATAATTCCCAGCATACAGGAGTAATCAAATGCTAGTGGAATAAATGGATGTTTTGCACAGAATGCTGACACATAATAAGAACACGTTTCAGATGGGGCAGGCAAAAAAAAATGAGCACAAAAACGGGGGAAAGTGTGGTATTTCTAGTATTTTTTTTTAATAAGTATATGACTGAAGACAGTGGGCCTTAATGCATGAGTTTAAAAACAAAAACCACCAAAAACAAAAAAAAAGTTTTTAAATCAATTTACACTTATTATTTGACTTAGGGATATTTTACTTTCTGTTAACTAGTGGTCCAGGAAAAAAAAAAAAAAACAGGTTTAAGATTATCCTTCATTATTGTGTGAGGAACCTTCTCAAATTATAGAAATATTAGGTGTCTGAGTCACAGGGGTGTACATATTTTTCAAAATTCATTGAATAATATGCTCAAGATTTTCCTTTTCTTAAGGTCCAGGATCTCACCACACTGCCTAGGCTGGCATCAACTCCAAGGCTCAAGTCAAAAAATTCTCTTGCCTCAGGCTTCCAAGTGGCTGGAACTACTGGCATGCACTATCATGTCAAGTTTTGTAAAATTAAGTTTTGAATATTACACTATATGGAAATATTGAGCTTTAATTAATGTTATGCATGCTGACATGCTTAGGCATGAAAATCACTGATGTCTATGACACTTTGAAATATATATTTTAAAAAATAAAGCTGCGCATAGTGGCATATGCCTATAATCCCAGGGACTCCAAAAGCTGAGATAGGAGGAACACAAATTCAAGGTCAATCTGGACAACTTAGTGAGATCCTGTCTCAAAAGAAAAAAATAAAAAGAGCTGTGGATATAGCTCAGTGGTACATCACCCTTGGGTTAAAGCTTCAGTACTGCAAAATAAATTAATTAATTAAAATGTAAAAATAAGATGAACTTAAGCACCAATAGATGAAATGATATGATAAAGTACAAACTTGTCAACAAATTTTAGAATATAGGTGGCAGGTATGGGGGTGAGCACTGTACAATGTTTTTAACTTTCCTTGTACTTGAAAATTTTCACAAAATGTTTAAGAAAAAAATAGATACGTATGTGCACTTTTTTTTGTAGTTGGACACAATATCTTTATTATTAATACTTATTATTATGTGGTGCTGAGGATTGAACCCAGGGCCTCACATGTGCTAGACAAGTGCT